AGCCACTTTGCTTTCTTGCATTTCCTTTTCTTTGGGATGGTTTTTGTTGCTGCCTCTTGTACAATGTTACAAGCCTCTATCAAAAGTTCTTCAGGCACTCTGTCCACAAAATCAAGTTCCTTAAATCTGTTCTTCACTTCCACTGTGTATTCATAAGGGATTTGGTTTAGATTATACCTGACTAGCCCAGTGGTTTTTCCTACTCTCTTCAGTTTAAGCTTGAATTTTGCTATGAAAAGCTGATGATCAGAGCCACAATCAGCTCCAGGTCTTGTTTTTGCTGACTGTATAGAGCTTTTCCATCTTTGGCTGCAGAGAATATAGTCAATCTGATTATGGTATTGCCCATCTGGTGATTTCCATGTGTAGAGTCACCTCTTGTGCTGTTGGAAAAGAGTGTTTGTGATGACCAGCTTGTTCTCTTGACAAAACTCTATTAGCCTCTGTTCTGCTTCATTCTGACGGCTACTCCATTTCCTCTACAGGATTCTTGCCCATAATAGTAGATATGATAATCATCTGAATTGAATTCACCCATTCCCGTCCATTTTAGTTCACTGACGCCCATGATGTCAATGTTTATTCTTGCCATCTCCTGTTTGACCACATCCAGCTTCCCAGGGTTCATAGATGTTACATTCCAGGTTCCTATGCAGTATTTTTCTTTGCAGCATCGGACTTTCCTTTCACTTCCAGGCATGTCCACAGCTGATCGTCCTTTCGATTTTGGCCCAACCACTTCATTAGCTCTGGAGCTACCTGTACTTATCCTCCGCTCTTCCTCAGTAGCATGTTGGGCACCTTCCGACCTGAGGGTCCCATCTTCCAGTGTCATTTCTTTTAGCCTTTTGTTTCTGTTCATGGGGTATTCCTGGCAAAGATACTGGAGTGGCTTGTCAATTCCTACTCCAGGGGGGTTGCATTTGGTCAGAACTCTCCACTATGACCTGTCTGTCTTGGGTGTCCCTGCACGGCATAGCCCATAGCTTCTCTGAATTACTCAAGCCCCTTTGCCACGACAAGGCAGCAATCCATGAAGGAGGCTCTTTGAACTAATGGTCATTAAAAGAACAGTTGCTTCCTTTGTGGTTCCTGAGCAGTGGTGGGAGAGGTTGCTGAGTTTCTCCATCACAACCCCCAAAATCAAACAGCCAGCTTAGGAGGCAGGTCTGGGATTCTGAGAGCTGGTGTCACAAAAGCGACTCTTGTATCTGCTCCTGGTGGACTAAATAAGCGAGATGGCTGCTGTTTCACATATCCATGTGTAAACTCTTAAGAATTGGGGTGAGCCAGCACACTATGTTGCACATTTTACAAAGTTTGGAAAAGCTACCTTTTTGGCCCAGCCCTCTCAGAATCTGTCCAAGCCTCGGTATTATAACAGATGACTTTGTTACCAGGGGCTTGTGTGCTCCCTTCCCCTCCCTCAGAAGACTATCTTACACAAACAGCCATAAACATTCTTCTTGCTGAAAATAGATGTTCCCCATGCTCTTGAAAGGGAATTATCCAAACATGAACGTGAAGGTTAATGCTGCAATCTGATGTGAACTTGTGGAGACCTTTCCCTTAAAAGCCATATTATTTGTAATAAAAGCTGTTTGTCTTAAAGGACCCAACCTCTGAGTCAATAACATGCACGAGAAGAGGGCCTGCGTGCATTTTGCTTTTCATTGAAGCAATATGGGAGTTACAAGGAAAAAACAATAGTCTGGGATTCTGTAACACAGTTGCAAAGCATATGAATGTGTTTTGGAATGCATTAAGTCCAGGTCCCTATAGCCTTAGTGGAATTTGGATGTGCAAGTCTAAAAATTTGGTTGGATTTGGCAGGATCCAGAAAGTTAAATGAGGGCTTGTGTATTGCTGGGATGCTCTAAGCCGCTCTGTAATTTTTTGGTGGAGTCCGAGAGGCCCAACTTGGCTTCTGTTTTCACAACACCATTTGATGAAGGGGGAGGGGAGAGCAATACAAAAATTGGCAGAGCCTTGAGGAGTGTCGAGCTGACGACGGTTTCCTCCCCATCTTGTGCCAGGATATTTTGGAGGGGAGCTCATTTCGTTCCTGGGCAAGGATAGGAGTGGAGGGGGCCGTTGCCGCAGGTGGGCAGGTGGCTGCGGCTGGCAGGCTTGCAGGGCGGGGCGGGGTGGGGAGAGGAGAGGCTGTGGTTTGGGAAGGGAAGGGGGTGGATCTCCGAGAATCCAGCAGGATCCGGCAAAATCCAGCTTTTCCCCACACCCGCCGAATGACCCACACCCCCGACGACAACGCAGCCGCGCTGAGCCAATGTCAGGCGCTTGGTGGTGAAGAGGGACCGGGAGCCGGAGGAAGAGGAGGGCGAAAGGCGCCAGCCGGGCCCCCCTCCCCGGCATGTAAACAAGCCGTGCGAGCGACCGAGGAAGGCTAAGCGGGGGGAGGGCGACGGCCATCCAAGGGGGGCAAGAGGGGCGCCTGGAGCATCCCCCCCCCGGTAACCTCTCACTCCCATCATCTCTCCTCTCCTCGCGCGGGCCCAGCGCCCGGTTTCCCAGAGGGAGAGACAAGGGGCGCGGAATTGGAGCCAGTCGCACACCGAGGAGGAGGAAGAGGAGGAGGAGGAAGCGAAAGAAAGGCGGGCAGCAGGCGGTAGCCGCCGGGGCAGGAAAGGATGGATTTTCAGCAGCTGGCTGACGTTGCGGACAAATGGTGCTCCAGCAACCCTTTCGAGCTCATCGCCACCGAGGAGACGGAGAGGAGGATGGATTTCTACGCCGACCCCGGCGTTTCCTTTTACGTCCTGTGTCCTGACAACGGCTGCGGGGACAATTTTGTGAGTAGAGAGAGAGAGAGAGAGGCGGAGGAGGGAGGGAAGGAAGGAAGGGGCGAGAACCCGCCGTATGCAGCCCGGAGAGAGGCCAGGTGAGGGTCTCCATCTCCCGCTGCTGCTGGTTTCCCATAGAAATCAATGGGGTGCCGACAGAAAGAGCTCCCCCCCTCACACACACACACACACACACTTTGGAGGGCAAGCCCACTGACATGGAGAGGTACGGCCTCTCGTTTTCTCCCTTCAGCGCTTTTCCTCGGGGTTGTTTGCTGTTCATCAGACAACCCCTCCCTCTTCTGTTTGAAAAAAAAAACACAACTTACGTAGCTGAAATATCACCTGCCAATGAAGCAGGTGGAAGGTTAAATGGCGCGTTGCCTTCCTCCTGCCCTGGGGCGGCCGCTTAACAATGACCAGTTGCCTGGGAGCGGTGGGTTTCCTCCCATCACCCTTCGTGCATTATCCACACCGGCATCAGGGAGGAGTGCCCTGTTGATTTGCTCAAAGAAGTCTTAAAGCACACAGCCTTTATTCTGGTAAACATTCATCCCATAGCCAGGATGCACTGCAGCACTGCGAAATAATTAAGTGGGAGAAGAGTGCCTCTGAGTTTGTGCAGAGTACCTGAGGCTCATTCCCCCCCATGTTATCTCAGCTGTGGTTAGGAGAAGGACGTTTAGGAGTGAGAGACTTTCAGCAGGTGGCAAGTGATGGTGCGTCCACCAAAGGTGGAGGACAGGCAGAGGCATTTGTCATTGCAGAACATCATCTGGAGGCACCAGCCTGTACATTGTGTTGTGTTACCAGCTGCCAGAAAACTGCTGTGTTTGCAGTCCTAGACAGGAGGCGGGTGGGATTTGTTGGATCAAAATTTGTTACAGGCCTGCTATTGTGGAGTCTAATGGATGCCCAGGTTTTTCAAAGCCCTGGAGCTCCAGAGAACTGGGCTACAGACATATTTTGAAAATGCTGAGCAACAGGCCATCCTCCACATCCACTCACCAGAAGGAAATGGCACGGATTGGGAGGGGGTTATGGTTTCTAAGAGCCTGATAGATATGTGTTGTTGTTAACCAGGAAGTGGGGGAGTGAAGATTTGTTGTGGTCATGGATCTTGATGCAGGTCTGAGGTCCCAGATAGCTGCCACTTGCTACAATAAAGAAAACAGAAGACACAAGCATGGGGGGGGCACCGATTGTAGAAGGTGGGAAGGCTGTTGGAGAGAGAACGCACTTCTGACTCAGTTGCTGGACTCAGTGTCTAAATAACCTCCTGGTCTCTCTGGTTGACAATCTTGTTAGGATTTGCGATCAGGAGTCCACAGGTAGAAGAAATCTTTACAAAGCACTCCCTTGAATTTGCTTATCTGTCTGCAGTTGCAGGTATCAAATGGGGGTGGAGGGGCAAGGGGAGTGGGTATCACCTTGCACTTCCTCCAGCAATTAGATTAACTAAAGGCTTATTCTTATGTACTCTTAAACCATTGTCTTATCTACCTACATTCCTGAGGAGAAGGTGGATTTTCCAGATGTCTCAGGAAATGGAGAATGTATATTGGTAAAATGGAGTCCATGATAAATTCTCTCCATCTTCTCTCTATGTCCCATTTAGCTACCTTGGGAGCTGACTTGCAGTGAAAACTTCATATTTGTTACACCATGTAGTCCAGAAATGTGTTTGGGTGGGGGATATCCCTTCCTCTTACCTCTTTGTATCTTGTTTGCATTGAAACCCAGACAGGTGGCAGCTTTGTATGATTTTGCTAACAGTAGCTTCAGCCACTGCTGGCTGTACCTTTTGCTTTGCTGAGGTAGCAAGTGTGTCTTAGCAGCACAGCTAATAATAACAGAAACAGAACATTGCCTTTTCCAGATTAGAGCACCAAAAAATTCTAAATGTAGGCTTAAAATGTTGGAGACCTATAGGTTGCTGCAAAAACCAACAGCTCTCTTAAATGCCCCCCTCCCATGTTCCCACTTGTGACAATTTGAATGACAGCAAAGCACCATCAGTTGAACTACTGTCCTGAAATATGTTTTGAAGGATTTATTGCCTTTATGTTGATAGGTTCCCACTCTCAGGGGACTGAGGTGGGGAAGATCAATTTCACTGTGAAATTCTTGTTATCTAAGTGTACATCCCTGGGGAGAAAAGGCTTGGGAGTGAATAAACATCAATATCCTTAATTGAGAAGTCACATAATTCTTGGATCCTCAGCCCAATACAAGGGCCCAATCTATGTGCCCTAAGGTGCAGTAATGATACAAAAATACATGTACAGTACTTCTTTGTAATTTATGTAGTAGTTAATTAAATGCAAATTTCTCTATGTATGATAGATGGCTGTCCTCATCTTACTTTTTCTCTCAGGAGCTAAGTTAGTGTACAGGGTTCTGCTGCCCATTTTTATCCGCAAAACAACCTGAGCAGATGGACAGGCGGAGGGACAGTGACTCATACTGATCCAGTGTCACCAGGTGAGTTACATGGTGACATCCTAGCCTGACACTCTAAAGGTTAGAGAATTTAACAACCTTACTGGCTTTCATTATACTAATTTCTTCAGTTTCTCAATGTCCACTAAAAAACTGATCTTGGAAAGGCACCTGTACCAGCCTTTCTCCACTGTGTATCCTCCAGATGTTTTGCTTTTGTAAAAATCAAAACATCTGGAGTCATGTGGTTGGTAGAAGGTCCACAATATCTACCATGAGGCTGGTTGAAGTGAGCAAAGTAAGGAACACACAGAGTCAAGATAAAGAGAAGCAGTGTGGTATACCACATTGTTGGGGAACCTAGGACCCACCAGATGTTGTTGAGCTACAACTCCTGTCTACCACAATTGCTGGTTGTGTTGGTTGGGGATGATGGGAGTAAGAGTCTGACATCATCCAGAAGGATGTGGTATAATGGACAGGTATGTTGGCAAGTCTTTTGGGCTGAGTCCCAAGACCAGGCCCAAGTCTTTGGTACCAAGTCTTGAGTCCCAAGTCCCTATTAAAAACAGATCTTTTTCCCCCAAGGAAAAAAGGGAGGGGTGGCTAGGTCTGAGTTGTGAGTTGAGTCCAAGTCATTGAAAAAAACAAATAAACTAAGTTGAGTGTTCGGTGCAACTTAAGTCCAACTTGACAGCGAGCCCCAGTCTCTGATAATGGATAAATCACTTGACTTGAGACGCGGGGGAGGGGCTCTGGGTGTAATCCATCTACTTATGAAGTGTACTGAATGGTTGTGAAAGAGCCAGTATTTACAAGCTCAGTGTTCCTCTCTGGGTTATTGTGAGGTTCAAATGCAATAATCTCCAGTATGATGTTCTAAGAGAAATAATAAACTAAATGGGAAAGTGCTGCATAATCAAATAGTTCAGTATCTTTGAAAACAACATGCGGCAGAGTTTTTGTTGCTATGAAAGTTTTGCAGGGAGAAATAAAAATGGATGGAAGATTCCTCCCACATCTTGCCCTCTGCTTGCTCGTGTAATTTGAGATTTTGCCAATTAACCTAGCCTAGTTTTTAGACCTCTTTTGAATTCCCAAAGAGAAATTACTCATACATTGAATTAGGTAAAACAAAAAAAGTTTATTAGGGAAAAAAGTCTTAGGCAGCATTCTCAATGACATCAGGGCTTCTTGCAAGGGAACAGTGGAGAGCAGATTAAAATGAGATTATAATGTAGTTGTTGTTCTTGGGTCGTGTTTTGTAAACTTCCATAAACAGTTGTGTGCCTGTAGATCTGACTAATGGAAATCAAGTTTCTATTGACTTCAGTAGGAATCTTAAATTCATATACTTACTGACTGGAGGATTCTGGGAGTTGTAATCTTAAAAAAGTTATTTTTAAAAAAAGCTCTGGACACTAAAATTTTTGCTTTTATATGAACACTGTCCAAAACATTTCTTTCATGCTGCACATAAGAGCTAATTCACACTTGCAAAGGAATTACGTACGGAATATCTTCTTACGAGCTGCGTTCAGACTTTGTCTATGGCTTCAAAAAGCATAAGTTTACAAAATCCTGGCCACTTTCCTTTCCTCCTCCTGTTGCACACCAACTTTAACAAATATAGCATCAGATATTGGCTAATTCTCCTAATTTGTTAACTGATAGGAAGATCCTTACTTGTTTGGATATCATGGGGAATTACGGTTTAATGCCAGCCAGGATTTCTGTACAAAACCAGAGCATGTGGAGGAGAAGAAGGAGCTTGTAACCATGGATTCAAAAACTTGTGGTTTGTGAAGTACTGGAAAGTGGGCAATGGCTCATTTGACAAAGCATTTATATTAGATTTTCTCCCTATAGTATTCATGTTTTTTGTTCACTCATTCCTGAGAATTTAGATGTTAATCCCAACCCATCATATTCCTGTGTGATTCTTTGTTTTTGTTTGTTTGTTTCTGGGGTTTTTGTTTGGTCTCTGTCTCTCTTTTCTGAGTGCTAGTTGATTTTCTTTTCTTGATTATGTATACATATTGAGATAATCTCAGTGGAATCCTTTCTGGTGGCCATGTTACTTATGTCTTTATTTCTATAATGCCATCACTGTGTGCTAATTTACAGAAAGGTCCCTACCTTGAGGAGTTTGTAATCTAAAATACCACAAATAATAAACAGGAGAGGAAGGGGACATACATGGAGAAAGGAATGAACAAAGAAGTAACTTATGGTTGGTTTAGTTATATGGATTTAACGCAATATACATTTCAATGCCCAAGAAAGGCGATGCAAGGAATGCAGTAACTATAGGACCATTGCTCTAACGCGCAACATCAAATTGCAAATACAGTACCTGATTTGTTTGAAATATGGTGGAAGGAGAATTTTATGGATATCCTGAACTGCAAGAAAGATGAGCAAGTGGCTCCTAGAGTAAATCAAGCCTGAACTCTCTCCGAGGAAGATGAGACTTGCTAGGAAAAGAATTGTCTCTTCCAATTGTGTGTTATACAGAAAAATGTACGAACCAGTACAAACCTTATGCCCTTTTTGAAGATAATCTG